GTCATCGCCCGTCCTGTGCCCCCTGGGTCCGTTGTTGCCCAGGCACCCCCCTCGTCATCTCTTGTCATTACCTAGGCACCCGCCTCATCATCTGCTATCGTCACCAAGGTACCCACCTCATGGTCTCCTGTTGTCACCCTGGCTTCTGCCTTAGCCTTCCTTATTGCCCCAGGCCAAGAGGGGAAGGACTCGGAGGACACCCCTCCTGGGGACTTGGAATGGGACCCTTTGGTCCTGGCCTTGAGCCCAGTGCTTTGGCCCTCCTCACATTGGTTCCCTCCAACTCCCATCCTAGAGTCCCCTCACCTCCTTCCAGCTCCCATCCTGCAGTCCCCTCATCACCTTCCAGCTCCCATCCTGCAGTCCCTTCACCTCCTTCCAACTCCCATCCTGCAGTCCCCTCATCACCCTCCAGCTCCTGTCCTGCAGTCTCCTCGTCTCCCTCTATCTAATGTCCTGAGATCTCTGGTCAGCCACAGGATCCACCTTCAGCTCCAAACATGCCATCTCTCACCCCACCTGTCCAATTCCCTAGGCCTGTGGCAGTCTACTCACCCTGTCCTTTTGTGTCTCATCACTGGTCTGTCAACCCTGCAGTGTCCTTTCAACCCCAATCTGTTCCTACCTCAGAGGTGTCAAACTCCATTCCTGGAGGAATGGAGTTTGACACGCCTGTCCTACCCAGTCGCTTCCTCCTTTGTTCCCAAGGCATCTGCTCCATTAAGCTCCTTTTGTTCCCTTCCCTTCTGGTTCTCCTACTCCATCCTGGTCCCCGCCTCAGGTCCCTAAGGTCTGTTACCTCATTTGGTGGTCCAAAAACCAGTTCCATGTGTATGCTCTGTTTCTCCTTGCTCCCGTGTTTCACATCCTGGCTCTGTCTGTCCAGTTTCATGGTTTACATTATTGTTTTTTTCCCCTCCTGTTCTGTGCTTTTTAAGTTTTGTTCTCTCAATCTTGCTGGCCCTGGTCGTGCCTTTGCTCACCCAGTGTTTGTGCATTTGGTGAGGGGTACTATCAGTGTCAGTGCCCGTCTGACCCTACCCTTTGTGTCTCTTCCCAGTTTGGCCAGCAGGTGTTGCTGGTCATCCTGTTCTCCTTCCTCTTTCTTGTCCTTCAGCCCCAATGTGCTCTCCCAAATCCCTGGACCAGAGTATAGCTCAGTGGGTTCAGCATGTGGCTCAGAGCTGCAGTGGAACCACCAACCAGGACAGCAACTGAACAAACACAGATGTGAACAGGGGCACCAAGGCCAGGACCACAAGATCCAGAAACACCAAAGACGGGGACAATGAAGGAACACCAGGGGGCACACTGACAAAAGGAAGAGGGCACCAGGAGGGAACAAAGGCGTAACAGAGGGACAGGGAGCAGGCACCAACCCAAGGGGCAAAGAGGTAAGGGCCGGGGGAACCAGTGAGCCAGAGGGAACCCCAGCCGGCCGAAGGCGGGAGCAGCAGGGGCCACAGGCGACCACGAGGCTGGAGCTGGAGGGACCCTCGGCAACCGCAAGGTAGGAGGCAGAGGAGACACTGAAGGGGGTGAGGAGGAAGGCAGAGGGACTACTGGAGGAGGTGGGAAGGAAGGCGAAGGGGACACCGGAGGAGGCAAGGAAGGAGTAGAAGCCGCAGCATGCAGGTGACGGTGAAGCCACAGCCGGCGACTGTCGAGCCGAAGCCAGGAGAACTGCAGGCAAGGGGGACCGAATGTAAACCCGGGGGCAGGGCAGGCGGGACCTAACCCCAGCGCAGGTGTCCTCTCCCACACTTAGAGATGGGTTTCTGGCCTGGATCTGCCATGATAGGGTGGATCTTCAGGGTCTGGAGCCGTGACTGGAGTGGGTATGGGGTCTGAAGCAGGGCCTGGAGCTGGAACCACGGGAACGAGAGCAGGGTCTGAAACGGGAACTACAGGAACTGGGGCTGGAGCAGGAACCACAGGTATTGGAGCAGGAACCTCACAGACTGGAGCAGGAACCACAGGGACAGGAACCTCAGGCACTGGAGCCGGGGGTTGTGCCTCAGGTGTTGGGGTCGCCGGGGTTTGCGCCTCGGGTGCGGGCATGGCCTTGGGGGAAGGGGCAGCAGAGACATCGGATGCCGCCTCAAGTGAAGCGGTGTCTTCTGCCGAGGAAGCTTGCTCCGTCTTCCTCAAATTGAGCAGCTTCCTTAAGGTCTCTACTGCTTTCTCCAGCTCCTGAGGCAGGGAACGGCAAACTCTCCTTGAAGCTCTTTAAGGAGCGGGGCAACCTCTGGAGAGTCCCACACTGCCGGATTCCATCACCCGCCAGTACAGACCCTTAAGTGAACTTAGCATTACTAACATGAATGCCAGCTGGCATTTCTTATCATCCAAGTAAGGCTAAAGTAATGGATACAGATCAACAAAGTCCCCCTGGGGTGTGTTTCCCAAACAACGACGGAAGTTAGCATTAACGATGCATCGTACTATGGAAGTTCAAACTAACCAATATCCGAAGTACGACTGTTTCCCAAAACCGTCGTACCACTGTAGTTCGAACCACGTTAGTTAGTTGGGACTTCCGTAGTTCAAACTACAGTGGTTCTAGTGCTGATTGGTCAGACTCACGGTGAACCTACCGTAGTTTGAACTACAATGGTTCCAGCGCTGATTGGTCAGACTCACGGCAAGTCGTGCGCAACAACTAACAAACTACTTTCACAGCCGGTCGCGTACAAATATGCGGTCGTGTAATATCATATAAATATATATAATAATCACACACACACATACATGTTTAGGTGTAATTTTTTGGGGCCGGGAACCAATTAATTGGTTTTCCATTATTTCATATGGGGAAAATTCGATCACAACTCGAACTTTTTAGGATTCGATCCGGAGTTCTGAACGGATTAAATTCAAGTTCTGAGTTACCACTGTATACTGCATGATACTGTAACGTGCCCCGTTTAGTATCTAAGCAATATAAAGACTCTGTCAGTGCAGATAAAATGTCCTTGTCTCTTGTATCCGTTGGTTTTCTGTGTGGCCTGTGATTGATCTTACCGGGCTCATTTCAGCAGCACCAGTGGTTTTGTGAACAGACAGCAGGGATGCCATCAGTCATTTCTGTGTGTACAGACAGAGGGGTCTAAACACCCAGCTTCACGTGCTAATGGAGCAGGTCTGTGTTTATCTTTGGCCAAGATCAGCATCAGGGGTCAAAGTTAAACCTAGTTGTCTTTCACTTTGCAGCAGGTTTGGAGAGCTAGTTACCCTCTAGCTGGTAGAGACTGGGGGCAGCGTGGGGGCCTCATTCCACCAGGCTTGTGGTTTCGATACCTGGCCCAGCTCTCTGTGGGTGGTTTGCATGGTCTCCCTGTATCTAGGCTGGTTTCCTCTTTGTTCTCCCGTTTCTTCCCACAGTCCAAAGACACGTGGTTCAGGTGAATTGGTGCCTCTAAAAGTGCCCATAGTGACTGTGTGTGAGACACTACATCACATTTTCTTGGGCACATCATCATAATGTCTCACATGAAGGGGCCCTAGGCAGCATTTTCTTTCCATGTAAAGGGCAGCCAATAGCGACATTGTTGCCTCTCTAGACAGTACTTCAGTGATGGTTCCCCCCCCCCCCCCACTGCCCCCTGAGGCCTCCAGTGCATTCAGTCGTGCTACACTCCCTGCACCCTTCGCAGTGCCCTCAGCAGTCAGTTCCTGTGTAGAGGCGTCTCGTAGCTGCTAGCGAAACGCTGGCCTCAAAACCACACAATCTTCAGATCGTTTCCTACCTCTGCTCTGAGAATGAGTTTCTGTTTATTCTTAACTGGCTGTTTGGTAGCAGCATCTGTGCATCAGGTAGGAGGTGCTGGTGCATTTGTGTGTGATGGAAAGAGAGAGCTGGAGGAGGAAACCACATAGCAGCAAAACCAGTACTTTAAACAGCACTGTCTCTCTGCAGTGAGACGAGGGTGATTTTTTATTTTTTTTTTGGGGGGGGGGGGCAGGGCAAAGATGGTGGTAGGTAGGTACTGTAAGCAGGTAGGTAAGTAGGTCTACTTGTCTAATCATGTCTTATCATGCAATATCAAAGAGAAGGGCAGCTCAGACAATTGATCTCAATATTGTGCTAACTCAAAAAATATTTCACAGATCTTTGGATAAGAGAAGATCTGTGACTGATTTAATTTGAGACAAAGCGCTCCTGAATTGAAGCGGTGTCACGTAGTGATGGCACATGAAAGGACAGCCATAGGTGTAGATTCAGTGAACTTGGTTACATTGAGACAAGTCGCCCAGTGTTGGGCTTTTAATAACAATGATTGTTGCATAGGTGGGAGGAGTGTGTGGGGGATACAGGTTGTTAAGGGTAGGGGTGTGTGAGTAGAGTGGGGACATTGAGTTGGATTTTCATGCCTTTTAGTCAGAAGCCCATGTCTTCTGTTGCCCTTGCCGTGGTTCCCCAAAATCTCACTGTCTCTTTAGTTTATCCAGACATTAGATATCTAACTCATACCCCTGCCATCTCAGCACTGCTGACTGTTGGCTTTGAATGTGACCATGACTGTGTCTGTGTGCAGTTTTCAGGCTTCCTCTGTTCACATTGCATTTCTCCAGCTTCCAGTGCCCTGCAATGGACTGACATGCTGTTGATGGTTTACCTCACTTTACACTGTGTGCTTTTTGCATTAGCATCTAGATTATTATACTAATATGATTAAACAGCTATGGTGAAACACATGACTCTTTGAGGCAACAGTGATATCCAACTAATTTTTTTCTTACTAGTGATATCACAATTATAAATACACTTGTACTCAAATTCAGGCATGTCCCTTAATTATTTATGCTGAGGTTATTTTATTAATGGATCTGTTAATTAAATGAGAGTGTATTTAATGCTCTCCTGATAAATAATGCAAGAATGGCATGTTGAAGTGCTAAACATTCAGCCTTGTGGTTTTGTCAGTTCCTGTCCACTCCCCCTTCACTCTGCCTGCTGTGTGTGACAATAGACACAATAGAGATAGAAAGGACCATGACAGTGAAGGTACACAGGATGAGGAAGTGAGTGTCAGTCTCCACAGATCTGGGCTCAGTGACACACACACGTATGGATCCTCTGATGCTCCTGTTTCTTCTCATTGCTGGGCTCACAGGTGAGTGTCTCTCATTACAGTGGTACTGAGTAGAGATCTCTCTAAAATTATCCCTGTTTAAAAAACCAGCTTGATCAGCTTCCGTTGGATATGCGGGTTGACCAACTTATGATAGTTGAGCAGCTTAAGATGTATTTTTGCTTGATGGTTTGATGCTTTGACTGGTCATCCTAGCTTATTATGGTCATTCTAGCTGGTTTAGCTGAGTTGGGACTTTACTCTCTTAGACCAGCCATAACCAGCTACCAACATAAGCTGGTTTTTAGCTGTTTTTCCGCAGGGGATTAAAATTTAAACTGAATTTAAAATAACTACAACTGAATACAAAATTTTAAAATGCTAATAAACCTAAAATGGATTTCAAATGAAAATTGAAAAAATCAAAAATATTATAAAAATGATCGCCGCTATCAAGGATCTGCCTTGGTCAACAAGACAGACCCAGACAGACACATCAATATGTTAGAGAAATACACTGTCTGATAAAAACACGTCACACACTTCAGCATTTTGTTTGACGGCCTTTAGCTTTGATTATGGTGCACATTCACCATCGCTCTGTTTCGATGAGCTTATGCAGCATCACTATGTTAATTTTCATCCAGATTTGCTTTAATGTTTCACTGACATCTGAGAACTTTCACAATTGGAGCCCCACGAACTTTGGCATTGTCGCCCTGGAATACACCCAGGCCATCAGGGAAGAAATAACCCATTGCTTGGATAACCTGGTTATTCAGTAGATTCAGGTACTCAGCTGACTTCACTTTAATGCTGCAAACATATTAATCACTGCAATAACGAATCAATCTTTGGCTCTTAAGTATTTAAAATTCAAGCGGTGACTTTATTTTTTCCAGGAAGTGTATATGGTATGATGGCAGAGGTTCGTGCTCTATGCTCAGGTAAAAATTCACACAAGTGCAATAAATCCTTTTAGAATTCATGACGTTCTGCAGGCAGAGCTGAGCATATTGATTGGCTAACATTCCCACAGTGCCTCTTCAGGAGTCCTTTTAGACACCAAGTTCTGTGGTTCCAATTAGCACCATGAAGGTGCACAATGGCACAACCACAGAGTGGACCTGGGATTGTTAGTCTGTGGTGTTCATGGGTATTATGGTCTGCAGCCAAGAAACAATTATTTAAGGCTTTTTCTAGATTTTACATGTCTGCAGTGTTCGAACATTTTTAAAATATGTATGGGGGGGACAACTTTTGCCACTATTGTCTAAAGATGGGGGCATTTGCAAAATTATAGGGTCACTTTTTAAAAATAACTAATGAATGAAGTTTGTTTTTAAAGTGAAATGAGCCCAGATTAAAATGCATGCAATCAGCACCTTGTGCCAGCATGAGTAAATAAAAAACACAATATTGCTGTTCCAAAGAAAAGTGTGCAATCGTCTGTATGTGTATAGAAAACCATCTTTATGTGAGCGAAAGCAGGAGACAGTTCTAACTATTTAGGCTTTTATTTGGCTCTTAATAGCTTTCATATATGTATAATACATTAGTTTATAGATAAATGGAAAACTAAATCACAGTTTTTCAAAAGAACTAGTTTACGGGCTTTTTAAATGCCTTTAGAAACTGTAGAAATTCTATTATAATATTTGGTAAAATAAAAGCCAGCTTTCTCCAGCTGTAAATACAGACCAGTGACCTTGCAAACAACATTGTCAGAATTCAAGTAACAATATTGCAAATTGCTAAACATTACATAATTCAAAAATTCTGTTACAGCAACCAGCCATACTTCATAGGCTCCTGGAGCGGAGTTCTGTTCATATGCATGGTTTTCGCAGTCAGACTCTCCTATTTCCATTACTGCTGTTGTTGTTGGGCACCTTTGTCCACTTTGCCCACTGTAGCTAATAGGTCCGGCTATGTGAGACTACATTAACAATAGCTAGCTGACATTTACTGCTAACTTACTGACACTATTAGCTAAGGCACCAAAGCAAAGACATATTCTGTAGTGTAAGTGTTAATGTTGCTTATCATATGCAAATCGATGACGCTTGCCTGTTGGGTGGCATTGAGCTGAATTCTTTTTCCTCTGTTCACTTCCTGTAACAAAGCCGTGATTAGCTTTTAGCTGTCCAAAGCTATGTTTGGGTGGGTGAGCCCTGCATGCTTTACAGAACACGAGAGCCATATTAGTCACTCCTTCAGCACCAAGCCAGTCTATTTTCCATTTTTCTGCTCTAGATGCAGCAACTTTTTTGTTAATTTATTTGCTGGGGGCGGCATTGGTGGCGGCCCAGGATTTGCACTGTTTTCTTCGGTAAAGGTTGGTGCTTTTTAATGAGGTACAGATCTATCACAGCAGCCAACTTCACTGCAGGTGCAGGATTGCCTGGCCTTTGTCAGGTATCCTAACAGCGTTACGTAGCAGTACATATAGTTACAGTTACATACTGTTATATACATAAATATTGTGAACAGCGCAGTTTTTGTGTGTATGTTACAAATAAAAATGGAAATTGTAATGGAAAGTATAAGGCTGCAGAAAAAAATGTGACACATGAATGACACAAGAAACCAAGTAAGCTGAAGACATTTTAAAAAACATTTCCACTTTTGCACTTGTAGTTAATTTAAGAGCAACTAGACATCGACAGTAAACAGTGATGGACTTTGATGTCTTACTGTCAGAAGCCCATGTCTTCTGTTGGTCTTGCCGTGATTCCCTCTGTCTCTCTGTGTCTTTAGTTTATCCTGATATTAGATATCTGACTCATACACCTGCCATCTCAGCTCTGAGTGCTGGTTTTGAATGTGACCATGACTGTGTCTGTGTGCAGTTTGCAGGCTTCCTTTGTTCACATGGCATTTCTCCAGCTTCCAGTGCCCTGCAATGGACTGACGTGCTGTTGAAGGTTTACCTCACTTTACACTGTGTGCTTCCTGCATTAGGATCTACATAATTATCCTGATGATGAATTATACTAATGATGAATAGTTATGCTTTAAAAAGTGACAAAAAGGAACGACTTGCTGAAGTGCTAAACGTTCAGCCCTGTGGTTTAATCACTTCCTGTTTAAAGTGTCCACTCCCCCTTCACTCTGCCTGCTGTGTCTGAGAATAGAAACGACAGAGACGGTGAAGGTACAGAGGATGAGGCAGTGAGTGTCAGGGTGTACTACTCACACCAGCAATCTGTACCCTGCCTGAGCATGTTTGGCCCCTAAAGTCCAGTTAATTTGAAAAATGTGAATTCAGTCAATTGTTTTCCCTGCAGGTGCTGACAGTGTGTCCACAGTGAGCTGGGTGTCTGTACAGAGAGGAGGATCTGTCACCATCCCATGTTTCTATGACGACAGATATAAAACTCATGTGAAATACTGGTGCAGAGGGAATAATAGGGAATCATGTACTTCTACAGTACATACTGACTCGCCACAGGAGGGCAAAGTGTCAATCAGAGATGATCCTGACCAGCAAGTCTTCACTATGACCATCAACAATCTGACAGATGGGGACTCTGGTTATTACCCCTGCGGTGTGGAGATCTTTGGAGATGTAGATGTTGGAGATCGGGTTTACCTGTCAGTCACTGATGGTATGATATCTGTACAAAATATGATCACTGTCTTCAGGCATATATGTCTAATACAAAATAAATACACATATTCATTGTATGAGCTACAATAACAATAACATATCTTATTTTAAATAAGGTAGGAATTTTTTTTAAAAGGGGATGAATCTGCCAGTGTTTACTTTACACAAGTCATGAGTCAACGGTGACATTTACATTATTTATGTAAATGAGGGTCCAAATGTATGTTTTGTTCTGGATGATAAATGATTCATGGGAAAAGAAACAGTGTCAGTTTAAATGGGTGACTTCAGGGGGTTATACAAGTTAAGAAATGCCATTTTGTTTAGTTTTTAGTTAGTTTCAAGTATAAATTTTATCTAAAGTGTTAATTTATACAGGACCAGTTTGGCTGATATTTACTAAAGTTTATATTACATATATTAATTAGTAATATGAATCAGCAAAGATTTGTATGCTTATGAAACTCAGTGATCAGTTAGTCATTTCTGCAATGTTTGATTTTTACGAATACAGTGATATTAAATATATAATTTAAGCAAAATAATTTGTAATATTTCTGCAAAGTGACATATTGTAACCTACAGTTGACTGGTACTGACTCTTTATTAATATGTGTATAAATGGTGTAAGAGGGAGTGAAAGTTAATCAGCTTGGTCATTTTCATACTGTCCCTGCAGGTGTGTCCACAGTGAGAGAAGTGTCTGTACAGAGAGGAGGATCTGTCACCATCCCATGTTTCTATGATGACAGATATAAAACTCATGTGAAATACTGGTGCAGAGGGTTTAGTATGAGTTCATGTACTCCCATAGTACACAGTGACTCTCCACAGGAGGGTAAAGTGTCAATCAGAGATGATCCTCACCAGCCAGTCTTCACTGTGACCATCAACAATCTGACAGTTGGGGACTCTGATTTCTACTCATGTGGTGTGAAGATCTTTGGAGATTTAGATGTTGGAGATCAGGTTTCCCTCTCAGTCATTGATGGTAAGATGTTTGTTCTGCAGACTGTAGCCAATGAAATGCACAGTATGCAAGATGAAATTTATCCAGAAAGGAAGGACACAAACACAAACACTGGAGGAAAATATATTTTAGCACTTTAACACCCAATTTACAATAACAAATACCAAATTTTAGTTTTGCAGAGTAACATAAATGAGACCTGGGAGAAGTAACAGTAACAGTTTCAGTTAAAATGGGCTACTTTAGGGGATAAATAACAATAAAAATATTATGCTCAGGTTTTGATGCATATGAAAATACAGATAAACATTAAAATAAGCATGTTGTTACTGGGTCATATGAATGAATATCTTAC